ACGGCCTACCACAGTCGGATCGATCCGCGTGCTCTGCGTACTTCGGAGGCACCAGAAGATGCAACGCAGGGCCTGAATCGCCTCTCGCATGCCATCTAGCAGTGCAGTTAGCCCGCGTCAGACTCTGCGCGAGCTGGGAAGAGACCACGAGTGATAGCTAAAACTAAACCCAGCCCATCAATTAGTGGTACTGTGCATGCGTTTACTTACGCGTGCGCGTCACAGTGCGCCGACTTCAGTGCTTTTCATTTTGTAAACTGCCTGGTAGAATCACTCCTCAACACTGATTCGAGCGTGGAGAAAAACAAACAATTTGGAAAAGGGTTGGGGTTGGTGTGCTTCTTCACCTGGCCTGCAGCATAGTTTCTCTGTGCCACAATCCGGGAGCCATTACTGGGGTGCTTTACTGCTATTGGATGTGAATGTAGAATAGGAGTGAGGCTATTATTCAGGAGTGTGATTACTGATATCCCATGATGCAGGTAGTTCCAAAGAGGACGGACCAACATCACAAGACATCAGACACTACTGAGAGGACTCGCTCATCCTCACAGTCTCTATATATAATAGCCACTAACGTCATCATTATTACATGCCATACAGTATCATACATGATTGTTGGATGTGTTGGATGATGTGTTGGATGATGATCATTGTTATGTTCTTCACAAAACCATGTATTAGTTAACAGCCGAGGAGGATTTCCTGTATACACGCGCCAAGACGCCTGCCGACGTTAACTTCCAACTAGTCAATCACAATGCTGAATTTCTGCTGTGTCATCTGCACTAATCACTAATGTAAACCTTGGAAGCCAGACAATTTGCACTACGCCTAGCGCTAGATGTTGTGATAAGGACTTCCTGTCCAATACTGATACCAGTGCAGCCCGCAGACCCACAGCTCAGAATACAGCGTATATATTCCTAGCACCGGGTTGTTTGAAGTGGACTACAAAGCTGCATACCGTTCATGTTAGCCTATAGCATTACAATCCCTAAGCAAGCATGCGCAGCAATGATCAGGTTTTCCTTGTGTGTGTATCTGTCAGCGTGACTGTCATCTTCTGTCTGCTTATACCCTTTGTTTACCAATAGTATGTGGTGAATGTGGCGTATTATTTGCATGAAATTATAGTTCATAGCATCCAGCCATAGTTATATATGCGCACTGTCCAGCCGTGACCGGTCAATCTTCTGTCTGCTTACCCTTTTTTCTTAGCTGGCATTCAATATTCCCATATAGTATAGGAATGCAGATCTCATGCGTCAGTGTTGAAATGTCTTGTTGAAAACTGCAAAATTCAGATGATTGAGTATGTAGGCTCGCTTTGCTTGCCAATAATACTACCGATGAATGGTTAGACCTTCGGGTTGGACCGCCGCGCGGATTTCGAAAGTTGGTCATGGGTGAAATAGTATATACCAGAATGGAAACGAGGTTCATACACTACTTGAGGCTATTGTGGAGCTGGAGCTGTGGAAGAGAGAAAAAGCTATATGTATAAAAGGGATAAGGTGTATCACCAGTTAAACCTACCATTGTACTTGGCAGCAATCTCCATGGCAAGGGCACGGTCTTTGCCTCCAACTGGATGAGCCACTGCATCCACCAGCAGTTTCCATGACGGATCCCCAAAACTCTCTGTGTCATACGACTTCTTCAACCATTCTTTCAGCGTGTCTGACAAATTGTCTTCGACGTCATTTTTCTCTGCTTCAATTCTGTCGAGAAGATCAGGGTCCAGTCTGAGAGCCAGTCCCACCTTCTTCCACTTGTGAGCCACTCCCACCAGTTCAGAGCAGACAGTGAAGAGATCTTTGATACCTGCACATACGAGAGAGAAATAATAATGCCTAGATGGCTGAGATGGCTAGCAGCTGTTCACAGAAGTAAAGGTAGCCAAGCTGCTTGATATTTTTGATCACACTGAAGTTGAGCAGAACCCACCCAACACAAACTTTCATGACACTGCCACAAAAAAAACCGCACATGCTGTGCAGGGCACTCGAAGACAGTCAAACACCTAGCTCCACTAATTGACATGTCTCACACTATTAACCAGGCTTTCGTATTGCTGGAGTGTGACATAATTATACTTGAATGCATACAATGATAATGTCATAATTTTAGTACCAAGTTGGCTCTCTACTGGAGTCGGAGGACTAGAAGAAGGAGCCTGGTTCACAAGAGGAACTGATGAGGCAGTAGATGAGTCTGACACACCTGCAACAATAAAGGCACACTGCTGTAAAATACCAGATGCCACACAGCACTCAAACGGTAAACAGTAAAATGCCTTCAATTAGTCTTACCTGGTGTTCTTTGTTCTGGAGTGGAAGTCTCATCACCACTTGCAGAAGGAGTTGGTATTGAAGCGGTTGAGGATTCTTGAGAGGACTCACCTGTGTTCACACAAAAAGGTTGTTGAAGAGCGCATCAAATGGCGCAGAATGGACGAAAGTTCTCTTGCTGACTGAATGGAGGAGGCGGCAGCGTATACACATAATTAAAAGAAGCACGTTATACAAACGCATGTGCAGTTGGATGACGAATCGACGTGTAAATAAATTACGCCTTAAGCACAACTAAGTTAACTTGCTCACGCCCACCAATTATTAATTTCGCACCAATATTACAAGTGGTTTTGTAAAAGTAAGCTGAGATGCACTTCACACTTGGCAGTTCTATATAGGATATATAGGACCAGGTGATTCCTGGTGAAAGAAAGCTGCAACTTTGAAAACATCATCTTTCCTCAGGATGCTAGTTGCAAATGTTGACAACTCTGTGCAAGGGACTCAGCACAAGGAAGTGCAATGCAGTACATCTGTGCCTAGCCTGTGCAGTTGCAACAAGTGAAACAAGCGAAAAGATGGGAAATTTGGCTGAGCAAACAGGCTGAATTTGAGAGGCTCGCACTGAGACCCACCGCCTGCACAGCTAAACGCATGCAGTAAACCTACGTTTTTCAGTGCTAAAACGAGCCCCTTCACGGACCGCAAGTTGAGTACAGAAAGAAAGAAACTGAAAGACGGCAAAGTCAGGGAGGCAGACGACTGTTGCTATTCTCATAGTGACCGCTTACTGTAGCCTACGCGCTTGCATTACTCACATGTAGTTTGGTTCCAGAGAAATTGGGTTGTCAGGTCTCCAAATTGATTGGTGTCGCTGGTGCAGATCCACTCCTTGTCCTGGATGTAGGCTGGGTGTGGTCTGTCTGTGTGGGCTCTCGGACACACGATTGCCGGCCGTGGCTTGTTGCTGGAGTAGCCCAGAGTCTCGTCCACGGTCTCGATCCCACCAAAGACAGCCTTTTGCACGTGCCCCCACAGCTCCTTCTCCCACGTCTTTGAGGTGAACACGTGAACCTCGAAGTACTCGTAGCAGTCAACGAAGGTCACCGACCCGGGATACTTGGGGACCTCGAACTGGATGCAGTCGCGATACAGACACGAAGGCTCCTGCGACGAGAGATGCAGCTTCCAGGAGTAGGGGCTGTGGTTTTCAGGAGAGAGGACGTGGGACATGAGGGAGCAGAAGACGCCACTCTGGGGACCACAGTCGGGGAAGTCCACCACTAGGGCACCGGCTGAAGAACACCTCTTGTGCATGTCACTGGCAGAGATGTGTCGGAGGACGCTCGGCATGAACCAGGTCTCTGGGCCCTCCTCGTTCCACAGCCTGGCAAACACCAGCAGCTCCTCCAGCAGGTGGATCAGATCGTCACAGCTGAAGACCCCTTCCTTGTAGTGGCTGCTGAACCTCCGGTCTTCCAGAAACTGCTTTGTGATTCGACCAAACTTCATGAACTCCTGCCAGCCGGGAGGCAGAAGATACATTTCTGCTTCTCCACCTGAAAACAGTTCCTTCTCTGGAGAGTGATTCTCGGGGGTCGATGCCGCAGTGTTTGACGATGTCTCTGATGACTCCTCTCCTGCAGCTGACGGCACTTCGGATGATTCACTGGGAATATCTGACACAGGCTCGGAAGGATTGCTGGCATCTGATGGCGTCCCGAGTGGTTCGGTCGTCTTCTCACCAACATCAGGTGTGTGTTTCTCTTCTGGTTTTGTTTCGCCACAGGATTCGTCTCCCTCTTCCGGCTCTCGCAGCTCAAACATGAACTCCACCAGCTCCGAGACCTTGTCCAGCAACACTTGTGGGTCGACAAACACGGTTTTTGGGAGGATGGTGCGGAAATAGAACATGAGGCTCACTTCATGGAAGTGGTCCAAGGCAACGTCGAAAGAGTCCTCGGCCAGGTCCAGTGACTCTGCCACCTGCAAGCACTCCTGCCGACTCATCACCACCCTCCCCAGTCTCTCCGCGATGCTCCTCAGCTTCACTTCAAATGCCAGCCACCGCACGGGCAGCTTCACCTTGATAGGCCGGCACTGCTTGAAGATGTAGCGTCGGATCCGCTCTGCCGTCTTCTTGTCCAGATGGTCTGGTTTCAGAGCGTTCATCTCAAAGATCAACTTCTCGGTGGTGGCCCAGATCACCTGACTGGCAAACTTCTTTGGAATCAGCTTTTTCAATCGTTTGTTCTTGTCTCCCACCGTTTCCGAGAGACACTTGTGCAGCTGGTCTCGATGGGTGCCAAGGAAGAGCAGCTTGAGGGGATCTCCCTTCGTTTTGGAGACAAACGTGTGCATGGTCTGCATGCTCAGCTTCAGGTTCTCTTCATTTGTGCGGGTGGACCGGTAGGGCTTGGACACGGCTCTTCCCCTTCGGTAGTAGCCGATGTTTGGGCGGTGGTCCAGTGGCTGGGAGAGATCGATGACCAGAATGCAGGCCGACGTCTGTCCTAGGAACACCGTCATGGCATCCACAAACTCAGGATGGCCTCCGCTGTACATGATGTACACACGTGTTTCAGTGAAGACGGTCTCCTGGGAGTGGCTGGGGACGTTGATGAGGGATATGAACTCCTCCTCAACCTCGGATGACTCCAGCAAGGATTCCACCGTTACCTCAGGGGCCGTGTCAGACGACTGGTCACCACTGGCCATGGCTGCCGCACTGGAGGCAGTGGATGAGGCTTTGGTTTCTTCCGTGGCTGCTGGTGAGGATTTCTGGGGAGAGGCTGCCGACTCTGCTGGTTTGGGGGAGTGGTTTTTCTCTCTGACTACAGTTGGTGGCTGGCTGGCTGGCTGGCCTAGTTTCTGGGCACGGGCTCTCAGGATGCTGGCAATGTATTGCTTCTTCTCATCTGCCGTCTTCTTCTTCCACCTCACCTCCTTCCCTTCCACAAAGACCACCTCGGTTTGGACGGGTCTCTTCAGGAGAGGTGTGCTCTCTCGTTCTCCCTCTGCCAGTGGCTCCTCGCCAGTCAGTGTCTCTAGGGACGTTGACTTCCCGCTGCCTGCAGTACCGACCATTGTCACTTTTGTAATGAGTCGTTCTGCGATTCCACGTTTCATCTCGTTTTTAAGGATCTTCCTGGCTTTGTTGCGACCTGTCAGAGGTAGGTTATACTTGTTACAAGTTTGTTGTAACTTGCACTGCACATGTAATATTTGGTGACACTGGCTGCAGTACACACATAACTCTCCAGCTAAGGAGACTATGCTAAATGTATGCTCACAGCTTAATCTTTTACACTCGCCTAAAACGTTGAAGCATAGTCAGAGGAAAATCTTTAATTGTTTGAGAGCTGAGAGCAACTTACCAGTAGGGTGGTTGTACTGGAGTGTGCCGAGAACATCGTGATACTGCTGATCATTAAATAAATCGCCACAAAAGTAGAGAGCATCTGAGACCAGCTCCCATGATGGGTGGGGATGTTGGGTGGGGTATATTCTGATGACCTCATCTCTCCTCTCCTCATCACTAGCGAACTGAGACTTGATCTTGTCCAACTTTGACCGTGGGACACACAGTGCAAGACCAAACCCCTCCCACTCGTCGGCTGGCAGTGTGTCCAGTGCTGTTCTCATGTTGGAGGGAGTGAGGCTGGGATCTGAGAGTAAACAACAATCAACTTATATACCTAGTCACTACTTCTGTATATATTGTAGACACACTATATTATATGGTCCTTGACCTGGCAGAGAAACCGGAGGCTAGGTGAGATACGATAGACCATTCTCTACATATTGCCTACATCTCCTCGGAAGAAGACTCTCCATCTACCCCTTGTGCTATCTGCAGCAAAGCAGACCACCTCATAGAAGACTGCGCCTTAAGCTCGCTGGCTCCAGCAACAAAAAAGGCCCCTCTTCCTCCAGCTGCAGCCTCCCGGGACCTCACCAAGGACAAAGCGGCAGCTCCAAGCTAAAGCCATCCCTAGCAAGCACATCTGCCTGTCGTGCAACAGGGGTAGGGGTGCGTTTCCAGGAACCTGCAATTTACAGCACATCTGCATCTCGTGCAGAGGCCAGCACCCAGCACAAGAGTGCACTCACACCGCCTTGGATTCCAATTTCTTCCAGCCGCAGCACCCGCAGCCCCCTGCTCCCCTGGCCACTGCAGGCCAGTAGGACTGACATATCTGGCATGCTGGCAGAGACAGCCCCCCATCAGTTACCCACATTATATCATTCCGTGGTTGCCCGCCTACCCTATAGCTATCCCTCATGTATGTCCTGACATAGGACTGACATATCTGGCATGCTGGCAGAGACAGCCCCCCCATCAGTTACCCACATTATATCATTCCGTGGTTGCCCGCCTACCCTATAGCTATTCCTCATGTATGTCCTAGCTCCAGGGTGAATACTGATTATAAACACAGCTCAATAAGCAGCCACACATTTGGCTGACACCCACTTTCTCGGTGTCTCTCCCTCAGGCTACTCACTATTACAACTATCCAACCTCCACCAGTGCTGTTACCATTACACTGTAACCCGACAGTTCTACAAGTGCGCACCCCACTAAAGCTGCAAGCATGGCAACAAGAGCTATCGAACTACCCAGACCAAGAATTTGCAGTGTTTCTCTTGGGAGGCATCCAATCCGGGTTTCGCATCGGTATCCCTCCCAGCTTCAAGTGCATGCCCATACCTCGCAACATGCAATCGGCATACGAACACAAAGAGGTAGTCAAGCTTGGTCGCATGGCATACCTATCAACAGCTCAGGCAGAGGAGTTGACCCTCATTGGCGTCCATTTGGTGTAATAGCCAAGTCCAGGCAAGTGGCGCCTTATCGTCAACCTGTCAGCACTATATGGTGCAATTGACCAGGAACTTAGCTCCATTGCCTACACATCTGTGGACGATGCCGCCCACCTCATCAACAAGCTTGGGCAAGTGTCGTGGGGCAGCCATAGGTGGCCTCTGCTGGTGTTTGGTCTGCAAGAAGCGTATAGGGCAGTCCCGGTACACCCAGCTGACCAAGCAAAGTTGGGAGTTCAATGGCAAGGACATCGATCGGGCACTTCCGTTTGGCCTACGCTCAGCCCCAAAGCTGTTCAGTGTCCTAACAGATGGGTTCATATGGTGCCTCCACAACAAGGGCATTCAGTTCGCATTTCATTACTTGGATGACTTCCTTCTACTCGGCCCGGCTGGGTCTCGCACATGCCAAGAGGAATTGGCTGCAGCGCTCACTCTCTGTGACCAGGTTGGCTTGCCTGTGGCCCCTGGCAATCGATCTGGACACCAGCAGAGGCCACTTACGGCTGACTCACGACAAGAAGGAGAGACTGCTGGCAGCTATAGCCAAATGTACGGGCGCCCCACCGATCGGGCACCAAGCGTGACCTGCTGTCACTCATTGGTCTGCTGAACCATGCAGCGAAGGTGGTATGCCCAGGTCGGGCATTCATTCCAAGTCTAATGAACGCGTCTACTCACATCAGTTCACTGGAACACCACGTGCACCTTAGCAGTGCAGTAAGGCAGGATATACACTGGTGGTATGCCTCGTTGGAACGGCATTAGCATGATCCCTCCTACAGCCACCTCCCATGTCCTAACATCAGACGCTTCGGGCCGCTGGGGTTGTGGCACAGGTTTTCAGAACCTCTGGATCCCACTCCCATGGCCACAGCATTGGGAATATGTGGCCATCACTCCAAAAGAGTTCGCCCCCATCGTGCTTGCAGTGGCTACTTGGGGGCCGGAGCGGGCGAAAAGTTTGCGCCCAGTGTGACAACATAGCCGTTGTGTATGCTGTAAACAAAGAATCAGCCTGCAATCCGATCCTCTCCAGGCTACTACGTCTGCTCTGCCTCTTCTCTGCAAACTATGACATTACCCTAGTTGCTCGGCACCTCCCTGGGCCCAAAAAGCAGCAGGCGTGCTTTCAAGAGACAACTTACCCCTATTCATATCTCTCAAACCACAGGCCTCACTTATGCCAACAGTGACACCAGCAGCTCTACAGGACATGCTGTTCAACGAGTAAATCAGCATGAACTCTCTGACTGTGACTACGCGGTTGAGAGATACTTTGGAAGCGGCATTGCTCACTCCACTCACTCAGCATAGGCCTGCGCCGTGCAAAGATACTTTAGCTTCTGCCAGCAGTTCAACGTGAAGTGCCAATTCCCACTAACAGGGGCCACTCTCTGCCGCTTTGTAGCCTTTCTCGAGCAACAGAACCTAAAACACAGAACAATAAAGTCATTATCAGGGCTGTGTTTCGCTCAGATCAATCAAGGCCTAGGCAACCCCTTCAGAGAAGACACGCCTCGTCTGGATTATGTGCTAACAGGGATCAAGCTCGAAGAGGCATGCAAGGGCTCAGTCACCAGGCCACGCCTCCTCATTACCATTGATGTGCTGCGTAAACTCAAGCAGGTGTGGCTAGCCCCACCAGTCACTTTTGATGATAAGATGCTCTGGGCAGCGGCCTGCACCGGCTTCTTTGGTTTCATTAGGGCCGGCGAGTTCACTGTTCCGCCAAGCCAAGCCTACGATCCAGATGTACACTTGAGCCTAGGAGACCTTGCCATAGACAGCCACAACGCCCCATCACTTATCCACCTCGCAATCAAGCAGAGCAAGACTGACCATTTCCGCCAGAGGGTTGACATTTTTATTGGCAGCACAAATTGGCCAGTGTGCCCGGTCAAGGCGCTGATTGAGTACCTTTGGGCCACCGAGGGGGCACTATTCCTGTTTGAGTCGGGCGCGCCTCTCATACGAGCATCACTAGTGGCCAGGCTACAGCAAGCACTCCAACGAGGTGGGCTCAACCCCTCCGACTTCAAGGGTCATAGCTTTAGAATCAGAGCAGCAATCACGTCCGCTAAAAAGGACTGGAAGACTCACTTATTCAAACCTTGGGCCATTGGAAAAGTGCCGCCTACAAGATATACATCAAGCTACCGAGGTCCAAGCTAGCTGCAGTCTCCCAAACCCTGGCGAGCAATGCCTAGTTCTGATTTATGTGTCTTATGAAGAAGTATGAAGCTATTCAATAAGTAGCAAGAGTCATTGTCATGGGACAAACTCTTCTAGCTTTATGCACCCCTTTCGTTGGTATCCCATGTCAATGATTGCAGGGGCACTTCAAGGTATCATAGAATCGTGCAAGGGGCATGTAGGGTCAAAGGTCATTAATCTGCCAGGTGACCTTTCAGCAAGGGCACAAAACCCTTGCACGATATTACCAAACGAATCTCTATTTATGAAGCATTAGGGGTCCTCACGACCCCAGTTAAGCCTATCCCGAGTTGTTTAACACAATTAGACGAGGCTACCTAGCCGAGGCCACAGCTGCGCTGCACGTGCACAATTTCTCACCGTACACGTGCGTTATATCACGTCCACAGCCAGACAGGCAGCAGCAGCACTCAGTTGTTTCCCCCTTTCCCACCCTCCCGCCCTTTCTCTCTGAAGTTACGTAGCATTCCTAGCCAAGAAAGGTCTGAAACACATGACAATTAAAGCGTTTGCCATTCGGCATCAACAGATCTGTGAAGGCCTGGGTAACCCCTTCACAAGTGGCGTGATGCCCCAACTGGAGTATGTTCTGTTGGGTGTCAAAAAAGGTCTGAACTTCTTTCAAGCGCAGCCCAGTTTCCTTTGATATTAATTTGGATGCTGTGTAATTTAACTTCCATTGTGCTCTCTTTTTTTCAACTCATTCCCCATCACTCCCATTGTGCAGGAGAGTAATCCAAGAGGCCCCGAGTTAGTTTTGCTCTATTACCCACAAGCCAGTCTGTTGTTCAGTGACACACGGAACCTAAGATTAGGCCAGTTGGCAAAGCACATGTATGTACATGAGCTTATGCTGTACATTAGTGTTTACATCCACTGCAGCTACCGTGAATAAGTTAATTATGCAGGTCAAATGTGTGAATGTGTAGGCATGAGGCACAAATTCATTTGTGCGGTTTTGATGAATAAAATCTCTGGCTGTGGACTACGTATGTACATAGATATGTAGGCAGAGTGCTTTGCCTACATATCTATTCCCAACTATGTACACAAGAATGTCACTAGAGTAACAGGTCCATAAGTGTGGAACCCTAAAGCGATTGGAACAAACCCCAGCGAATGACACACGGATAACACTCACCACATGTAGATGGTAGATGTTGTCTGACTTCCTCCAGGGCTGTGTGCTCCTCCATCATCCATAATACTTCAGCTATCTTCTCCCATGATGCACCGGGTATGGTCTGGAGGTAGTACTGTAGACCTGCAATCCTTTTCTCCTCTTCAGTCGAGTGTGATGGACTGGCCCTGATATCATCCATCACTGAGGGGGGGACATCAAGCCGCCTCAGCAGGCTCACCTCAGCACCATCTCTCCACCAGAAGTGTCTCACAGAGGACACAGCAGGTAGCAGTGTGTGTGGAGTGAGACTGTCATCTGGTAGGGAGGTACACCACTTATACACCACAACAGACAAATATGGGACAATAATAACGAATGCCATGCATTATTGGTGAGCAAGCACAGGCTTTTAAATTTTTCAAGCGTATTTAGAATGACATTCAAAACCTAGAGTGGTCAGTAACAAATGAGAGAATGACAGAAGTCACTGCTCAAACAAGTATGCACCCAATGGAGGGATAAACGGCCATATTACTCATAAAAACTGCTTCACACACCAGTATTATGAGAAGAACAAGAAAGCAAATTCTCCCCCATTCCCTTTCTACACACAACCAATCCAGTGTGCTGTTGTTCGTTCTAGTACTTACCAGTGAGAGGTTCAGCATAGGATCTTACGGAGTCAGCCATCTTGGTTTCTTTCATGTAATCTAGTGCCCTAATGAGTCTCCTCCAGCTTGCCAGTGGGTCGGTGTTAATCCAGTGTGAAATCAGCTGTTTCTTCTGCTCCATCTCATCTGGGAACTTCTGTCTAATCTCCTCTCTCTTTGACCCTGGTATGTAGAGCCAGGTCCCCAGTCCCTCCTCCTCCCACCAATTCCCCACCTCCCTCACTTCTCTCATCACATTGGAGGGAGTGAGAAGAACACCTGCAGCAACACACACCAGAGAGATTGTCAATGCGTTTGTGTAGATCTGTAGTAAGTGAAACAGTATAACAAATGCAGTTTATAGCTACATATTCGTGGCTCAATGTCATGGTGCTGTATTTGGGAGAATATGTACTAAGTTTACATGGTGGGATACTTACAGAAGAGAAGGGCACTATTGTGACTTTATAAGGAGTAAATGGGTAGGGACGCTTCCCTTGACCAACCTCAAAACATTACGTAAAAGGGTGGGAAGATCCAGACACTGCTCTCAGGGGAGGTAATTAGGATCTGAGGAATTCCTTGTGTAAAAGAATGTCTTTTAGACATAATGGTGACGACTATCTAAAAGCGTCTTTCATGCTTCCTACACACATCAGTAGCCTTACATAGAAGACAACACATTATTATGCAGGACAGTGATAATATTGAGTGAGGAAATTTCGGTTACAGTGTGTACGATAGCTCCTCCCAGCTGTCTAACCTGAGAAGCATATTAACGGGTACAATAGCATGTAACTCCTGTCTACCTGTGGGTGACGTCTGAATATGTCGTCTATGCTGAAAGCACGGATCTCCAAGCCAAGCTCTAGTACAGCTACATTAGGGCTGAGACAAGCCAGCCGTGAAAGCCGGAGTGCTACAAGGGCGTGTCTAATAGTGCAACATCCCAAAGCATGCAACGCAAGCAGAGGGGCTTCTTCACTTACTTCTCTTTCCTCTCCTGCTCCTGGAGCTTTCAGGACTCTTCCTTCTGCTCAGTGGCACATGTTTGGAGTCTGCAGATAGTAATGATTGGTTAGTTGCTAGTACGAAATGCTAGTACGAATTGCTAACTCGATTGTTCGTAATTTCAATTTTTTCTGGCTTACGTTCTCAATGTGCATAGTAGGTATACAGCTTATCTACATATCACGCAACAACGAGTGCCACTTTGCACATTATTCCACAATCGAAGCCCTGACTACCTGTACTGCATTTAAAAAATCATTACATACTTACATCTCTTCCCTCGCCCTTGACTACGAGGACTCCTCCTTCCTGGTTTGACGTCCGCCATGTCTTAATTGCTGCTACGTGCAAACAGCAAAAGAAGGCAACCAAACTTGTTTGTTTACTTCGCAGTCACGCCCCCAAATCGCGTGATTATAGCGCATGCGCAGAAACTGGAGAAGATTATATACTGTGTTAGACCACAGCATTGCAAGCAACTGTGATACGAAAGAAGACCACTCCACTGAATCTTGCAATATTACAAAATATTCCTGACAGTAGGAGACATCTTCATTATTATATCTGGCCACATGACATGACCCCTTTGGACACCATGGGGATCTGCTTAATTAAATAAATAGAAATTGATGTAGAACCTATTTATATAACCCCATGGACTTATGGAGGCTTGGAGGCTCTGGACACATTTAAGTGTCAGTGGCTGGTTAAGTGATAATATAATTGTCCCCTGACCGGCCTCTAGAGAGAGAAAGACTACTATAATTTGCAGTCTGTGTGAATGTGTTTCTCTATGAAGAGGTGTTTAAGTGTTGCTCTTCCTCTTCGTCTCAGTCTGGTTTTCTTGTTGTCAATTGCCTCATTTCTGCAAAAGTTCATTTTTCTCGAGTTAGCAATAAGGCCACCTATAATTATGTTCAACACGTGGGTCTGTGTTATGCATGTAAGAAACTGAAAATTGCCTGGGGGTTTGGAGGTGGACCAGATGGTTGGAGTTATGATTGTGATTGCTAGCTAATCCTGATGCTTTTGTGTCTGATTATGTGGGTGCACTACAAACTATTGAGGAATGTGGACAGCGATTTAGATAAGGACAAGATCTCTGTGACATGGGAATGAAAACTGCCAGATCGTTGATCTCTAGCTTTACCTTCATGTGTGCATAGGTTAGCTCATGCAAGTTGCAGAGTTGTGTGTTTGTATATTATTACAAAAGCAAACTGCACACTTTTTAAAGAGCCTACCACTGATAGTCATTCTCAGCAGAAGGACGACAGTGTTATTATGATACTCTGTGTTTGTATAGGTTTTCTGTTAGGATTGTGCTGGTGTTCATCCAGTGTGGAAGGTAAAGATAGTCTCATAACGAATGATACAGCATGTAGTATCCAATACTGTATTGAAAGACCTGGGGTAATTATTGTATCTACCATCACAATCAGGTGTAGAGTTTCTTCTCAGAGGAGACTCCATCCCAACTGATGGCAGTGGACATCTTCTGATAACTGATATCAGTCTCCACAAAGGACAGAATAGTACTAGTGATGAGGATGCTCTCTTCTGTCACTCAACTAAAGATGTTACAATAATCCGTGAAATAGACATTGGTGACTGGTATCTAGAGCCATACTTTGAAACTACCACTGCCCATGGAAAGAAAATTGATGGTGACAGTGATTGTGGCTGGACCAGGAACAGAGAATATTCTGTTAATGTAAGCGGCATTTTCTATCGACTAGTGAGACTGAAGCGAGTGTCGAAGACTGCTGTGGAGGGGAAATTCACATGTCATATTCCCAGAGATAGCAACAACAACAGGTCTCTTCTCATACTCTACCCTAGTGAGTATGAAACAGATATATAGCATCGTGACATAGGTGAATAACATTGTAATTCCAGTCCTGTCAGTGGAGACAGTCATTGAGGTGATGACTGAAGATCGATTCAGAGTCCACTGTATCTCCACTGGTGGAAGAGTTCTGAATATGTCTATAACTGGACCACATGGAGTGGTCTCCCCTCTCAGTAATATACTGGCAGTTGGCACTCAGAGATGGATGGGTAATGATAGCTACTCTGGTGTCACTGGGACACTAGAAGGTGCAGATAATGGAGACACTTACAACTGTACTGCATCTAATGGAGTATCATCTGCAACTGACAGTATTGTAATAGGAGGTATCTAACATTATCATTGTGTCATTCCCTTCATGCATGACAGTATTATTCTTCAGCTGTCAGTAAACCAGTGATAGAGTCACTAGAGAGGGTCTCCCCCACTGTTGTGAGGGTGGAGTGGAGTCAGCCACCAGGAAGGGCCGCAGTAACTGGCTATGTGGTGTTCTACTATGATGGTAGTGTTACCAGGAATAAGAGGGTACCCTCCACTAGTACTGAGATCACAGTTAGCTCTGCTACATTAATTTATGTCATCTCCGTGATGGCTCTCTCAGAGGAGCGATTCCTCCCTCGAAGGAGTGCCTGGGAGACTATCACACTGTGTAAGTGTTACGATGAACACACACAACAAAAGGCTACACAAGCACAGCACTTGCACCTTTATATGGAATTAGTAAACCCCAACACCTCTAGCAATACAAACACAACATAGGATAGTAGACCCCCATCCACCACCCAGGGAGTCCAGAAGGTGTGGTGGTTGATGGCTCGGAGAACACCTCAGTCAGAGTGTCCTGGGAGGCAGTGGAGGATGCTGACTACTACACAGTCTCATTCAGTGCAGCAGTGGGAGATGATCAGGAGGGACTGTGTAGAGATGATTCTCATTCTGCTAATGTGACAGTAGTTGATGTCCCCACTGCCAATATTACTGTGGGGGAAGATGTAGGATCAAATGACACCTCCTCGTTAAGAGCATACACCACATACTCAGTCACTGTGGTAGCATTCAGTGACAAGTGGGGCAAAACTGTGGGGAGTGAAGCTACCAGATTGACTACGCTTCAGAGAGGTAAGCAAGTATCTAAGATTGGCACTCTTCTCTCTCATTTGCAGGAAGTGCAGCAGTTCCTGGCAGAGTCACAGTCAGTTCTCTTAGCTCCACAGTCATCTCAGTCCAGTGGAGTGGCCTCTCTCCATGTAGACTTGTCAATGGTGTCATTGTAAGGTACAGAGTACAGTACAGGGCCAAGTCCAGTGGACTGGTAGCTGGAGTAAAGAAGTGACTGGAAACTGGAGCTCAGGAGCAGAGACTGAACTGAGTGGGCTCACTTCCTCCACCAACTACTCCATTGCAGTAGCTGCAGTCAATGAACAGGGAGATGTGGGTGTCTACAGTCATCCTGTCACTGTGAGGACACTGCCAGGTAAAGTTTATCTGTATATCAGCAACCATGAACACCTGGTTTGCCTAGGTTCAACAAGTAAAGAGTCAAGGAATTCTGTTATTATCGGTGCTACCATGGCATGTATTGGAATAGTATTGGGATTTAGTGGAGCTGTCACTGGATGCCTTTTCTATAACAGGTAAGTGACCATTTTTGTGTAGTTCCTTTACAACTACAAAAGTTACCTAGGTCATCACTATCAAAGCAACGAGTTAACACCAAAGTGAACACAGAGGATAATCAAGCATATGGTGTGCACGAAACACCAAATCCTAATGAGTCATCAACAGAGGAGACAAAAGACGAGTAGTTTGCACTATCACTAGAGCAGATAGCTATACCTTTATAGCGTGCTGACAGTATGTAGCTGTGAGTGTGTAGTCTTAATTTTCAGTGTTTTAATACAGTGAATTTACAGTGAGTTAACTCACTTCCATTTACACACGTGGAGTAATTGCATCGCATGCATAGGGAAGGGATTATTCTCACGCACCACAGCAAGGCCATGTACCTAATTAACAGGACAAAATTCCACTGTCTGAAACAGTGTCACGGCCGAAACTCCGGCCGTGCTCCCTATGTGCTTACTACTCTGCTTCTTACAAATGCTTTTCGCATTGGGCATTGGTTTGTAGCTACGTGACTCTCATCCTGGAAGGCAGTGAATTACTAGTGCAGCAGTGAGAGATATCGGTGTGCGCAGACGTTTGAACGCTCGAGAGGAGCAACGCGCGCGCATGCGCAGTAAGCTTGGGCGTTTTCAGCGGCCCACGGTATGACAAATCACTGAATACACTTCATAATAATAGTGGAAGTTAGAAGTTGCAAAAGGAATTCTTGTAGATGTAGAAGAGTGACCTGTAGCTATATTATAGCACCAAACTGCTGCAAGGTTGAAAGGAGCTGAATGACAATGACAGAAGTTTTAAAAGTTTTAAGAGATCCCATTGTTATTGGTGTTGCAATAGCTTGTGCTGGAGTACTTATTGCGGCCTGTGAAGTCTGCATCGTATGTCTTTTGTGTAACAGGTCAGTGTGGATGTTTTTCCATTTAGGCTGTGTGTATAGCTATACATAAAAACTACACCTTGGTAGAATCTTTCTCAAGTTGCATGCTTTCACCACTATGTACTGAAACAGATCTTCACCATGTGGAAAGAAGAGAACAAGAACAGATGGCAACCAGCCAAATGGTGTGTCACCAACTGCAAGGATGGATACTACCGTGACACTCCCACCACCAGAAGAGGCTCTGTATGAACAAATTCCCTGTAACGAACTATGAGACAAACAGGTCCACTGAACTACACTGGTTTATTTTTCAAACATCACTGAAACACTGTATAAGAGTGTTCCCGCAATTGTCTTTACATTTTCTGTGATTGTTACAGAGCTATTGCACATGGAAGTGTAGAAATACAGCTGTAGCTACATAATATGTAGCTAGTTAACACTCTTTGCAGCCCTATAGTTTCTTAGTATATTATATAATTATATTGCAGAATTAATAGTGTTGCAAATTTGGCGTAGGTCTCTTTACATAAAAGTGTTGTCGTTCATGGGTATCCTTCATGTTGTGTTGTATTGGCCTTTCAAGAATTCAGGGTTTGTTGGTTTTCTCCATTGACAGCTGTTAGCTAATGGTCCTTTAGCCCTATATAGTACTTGTGAAGGTCACATGCATAGTTTTACATAAGAGTTATTCTTCCCAATCCATGACACACTCTGCCACAGATCTTTTTTGCATCTTAGGAGGAGCCTGTGAAGTCTCAAATCACTGGTACATGAGAAAGTAATACGACTGCGACAGAGCTTTGTCACGAGGTCCCGTGCCTTGGTTCGCGCCTCGGTGTCCTTTCACCGTATTCTATGTAGCCGATTCTCGCGTCTAGTGTGCGCGGTTTTTGCACTTTTGACAGTGATTCGCGTACAAACGTTTAGATTTTGAAGTGGAATTTTCCTCTATAGAGCATCCATGGAAGGCTAGGAAGCGTGTCATTCCTTTGCAACCGCTAAAGTGTGTGCGCATGCGCAATGTCCCGTTTTGGAGACTTCGGCCGACCTATTCGCGGGAGTGTAGCCTAGCCGAGGGGTCTCAGAAGAAGCTGAAAAAAAGGCATTTTACCCCTGGTATATTTGGTGTAGTGATAAGATTAGAGCTGTGTGAGGGAGGGGCAGTTTATTAGGAGATCTGTGTAAGTTTGACTTGGATGAAGTTTAGGGTCCTGCAAATGCACACAGGAGAGACCTCGGTGTAAACTGCTGAAACAAGGTAAAATGACACCAGATTTAAGAGATGCTATCATGATTGGCGTTGGAATTGCGCTTTTTGGAGTACTGATTGCCGCTTGTGAAGTCCTCATAGTGTGTCTCTTGTGTAACAGGTAAGTGTCCCACGTAGCTATCTACTGTTTTAACTGTGGGGTCCTATAAAACAGATCTTCACCATGTGCTAAGAGGCTATCACGCTCAAAGACCAGAGTCACTACAGAGAATAACCCGGCCTATGGTGTACCAGTAGGTATACCAGTAGTATAGTTCATGATACGCCACCATCCGTCACTATACCAGAGGAGGCTCTGTATGCCGAAGTTCCTAACTGAAACTCCTTGGGAGAGCGAGGTAGACAAGTCACGGACAATAACTAGACCACGTTCACAAAGTGTGTATCTGTCACCAAAAAGTGTATATATGTCCCAGAGAAAATTTGAGCATTAACCACAAAATAGGTGTATTTTGCAATCAGTGCTGTGTACAGTTTATTCTTTTCACGGTAACGTTTAGGTATCTTGTCTTGAGGCAAAGTCATGTGCATACAAGGATGAATGAAGAATATGGCGTCGTCTCTCAAGCCTTCAAAACCAAAATTGAATGTCACATTTGTTATTGTTATCTCAATCAAGGAAGCGTATAATGCATTACTATCTTGAGAAAACACAGCATGGCAATACTGTGTTTGTGAAGTGGCCCAATACACACATTCCTTTACATAAATCCAACCATACATAACTCTGTGCAAAACATTGTGTTTGCAATGTAAACTCTGAAACTATTTGTGATGCATATATTCTATAGAAAGTATTGTGTGTTGTGTCGCAAACACTTCTAAAAAAGTTGAAGGAGCCTCCAAAGCATGGTAGGACTCTCCTCTATATTGGAACTGCTCCAGCTATATAGTTGTGCATTACTATCTGTTGGCCTTTGTGCAAGTTGGTTTTATTGTTGTAAAAGGCTGGAGTAAAATTCATCACCTAAAATCTTTCACTAGGTATCTATAATGGGACACGAAGGTCGAGAAAATGAGGAATGTGTATGCAATTAATGGCATACATGAAAAATATGTTTATTGTATACTAGCCATAGATAATTATAGATAATAAAAAAGAAAGAAAAACCAGAAGTAACCCTCCACCCCCACCCTCCATCCAGATAGCTACAGCACATGAGACAAACAGCACACTTGCACATGAAAAGGTATTGGAACATACATGTAAGTTTGCTAAACTGAAGGAACGGCAATATCAGAGCCATCCAATGATAGTACAACACAAGCCTTTGTCGCAGTATTGTCGCAGTCTCATCTGTGAGCTTTCTGTACAATTGTTTCCTGCCCCATTATTTATTATGCCACAAGTCAGTTGAGAAAGTGAGTGGAGTGAAAAATTTTAAACGTGTAGTTCACGGCCTCGTACCTTATTTTGATAAACAACAGGGATGCTCACAGAATATTATTATATTATAGCTATATAGGGGGTTCCAGACTATTATATAAAAGCGTTGAGGTACGAGGTTCAAAAGTGAGTAATCAAATGTGAAGTTCAACTTCTTTCCCTTAACACTTTGGAAAAGTACGGTAGTATATAGCTACTGAGTGACCTCCCGCAACTGCTTTACATGATGTTTGTGCAACATGCCAGTGTGACAGTATTGGATATGATATATAATAAGGAAAAATGCGTAGGCTTGCTTAGCCAGCCAATAATAATGTGTGAAGATACCGCTATGTTCAATATGGATGTAAGTGAGGTTGGTTCGGCTATTGTGGAGCTGGCACTGTGGGAAGAGAGAGAGGAAACAAGACGTATTTGTACTTGTGAGCACAACACAAGGGATAAGCTGTTAAACCTACCATTGTACTTGGCAGCAATCTCCATGGCAAGGGCACGGTCTTTGCCTCCAAAAGGATGAGCCACTTCATCCACCAGCAGTTTCCATGACGGATCCCCAAAACTCTCTGTGTCATACGACTTCTTCAACCATTCTTTCAGCGTGTCTGACAAATTGTCTTCGACGTCATTTTTCTCTGCTTCAATTCTGTCGAGAAGATCAGGGTCCAGTCTGAGAGCCAGTCCCACCTTCTTCCACTTGTGAGCCACTCCCACCAGTTCAGAGCAGACAGTGAAGAGATCTTTGATACCTGCACATACCAGTAGGGAACATGGACTGGAGTCTGGCAAGAACAATGTGGAACTGCTGATCATTAAATACAGCACCACACATGTAGAGAACATCTGAGACATGCTCCCATGTTGGGTGGGGATGTTGGATGGGATATATTCTGATGACCTCATCTCTCCTCTCCTCATCACTAGTGAACTGAGACCTGATCTGGTCCAACTTGGACTTTGAGACACGTAGTCCACCACCAAACCTCACCCACTTGTCTGCTGGCAGTGTGTCCAGTGCTGCTCTCATGTTGGATGGAGTGAGGCTGGGATCTGAGAGTAAACAGACAATCAACTTTGATACTTAGCAAGTCACTTCTTCTGTATTGTAGACACACTATGGTCTTGACCAGGCAGAGAAACCATCTTAGTGCATAACTGTGAATATTAGCAGCACTTAATAATATTTGGCGATTTTGTGTGAAACGGGCTCTACAAATATTTGTAAGTTTTGCTTGTGCGTGCAAGCGTGTACTGCCTGCCTCGCAGTCGTGTAGAACAGAATGGACCAGAGACAGACTTTCAAGATAGAGAACTGCGTACAAGAGCACGTACATAAGAATACATGTACTTGGGCAGAAGATGAAGTGCGTAACAATCTGTAGGCTATTGCAGCAGAATTGTTGAGTACGCTCCTGTGGGGCAGCTTTCCTGTGTGTAACATAGCCATGGTATCAGAATTGCTGCAATAGCAAGGGCAGAGCACATCTACATACTGCAGTTACCATGGGAAAATTTAATTATGAAGGTGAAAAGTACGAATGTACGTAGATACATACAGTATGTAGGCAGAGTGCTTATAAGGCATTTCTAAATATTACCTACGTACGTAAGAATATCAGTAGAGTAACAGGTCCACAAACGTGGAACCCTAAAGAGATTGGAACAAATCCCAGCGAATGACACAAGGACAACACCACTCACTGACCATAAGGATGTAGATGTTGTCTGACTTCCTCCAGGGCTGTGTGCTCCTCCATCCTCCATAATACTCCAGCTATCTTCTCCCATGATGCACCAGGTAGAGTCTGGAGGTAGTACTGTAGACCAGCAATCCTTCTCTTCTTCTGTGGAGTGTGATGGACTGGCCCTGATACCATCCATCACTGGCTGGGGGACACAAAGCATCTGCAGTAGCCCCTCATCATTAAAATTACTCCTCCAGAACTGTCTCACAGAGGACACAGCAGGTAGCAGTGTGTGTGGAGTGAGACTGTCATCTGGTAGGGAGGAACACCACTTGTACATCACAGCACAAACAATAATAACGAATGGCATGCATTATTGGTGAGCGAGCACGGGCTGTTCACTTTTTCGAGCGTATTTGACACTCAAAAGCTATAGTAGAGTGGCCAGTAACAAATGAGAGACTGACAGAAACGACTGCTCAATGCAGGGATAAATCGTCATTTTATTCATAAAAATTGTTTAGCACACCAGCATATGAAAAGAACAAGAAAGCATATCCTCCCCCATTGCCTTTCTACACACAACCAATCCAGTGTCGACAAGTTCTGTACACACATGTAGATACACACACACACACACACACACAAACAGACGAGAGCCGGTCACTAGCTATGTAGGTGGCCAGCCTTGAGAACTGGGGCAGTGGGTTGCCAATTCTCCACACACACATACAAAACATAGTACATTGTGTGCACTTTGTGCTTCAACTAATGTTCAAATTGCTGACTTTTGCTCAATGGATTCTAGGTAGATTATAATAATAGCCCTTTTCACGTAAAGGAGTGAGGAATTCATTAGAACGTGATGCAAATCCCGGGGTACATTCCTCCGCCATTTTGCTCACGTTTTCTATGCAGGTCTATGGAGATGATGTCACTTTTCCAAGCGCCGTATATAGTAGTTACCTTACAGTACGCGATGTTCTATTTATACGGTATTCAAAAAAAACTTTGAAACTTGTGCATGCTATTGAATGGTCCATATTGCGTGTGCTAGGGTTGTACGACTTGGGAGATACGCGCTCGGAAAGACGGTGGGTATAGGAGTTGCTAAGGTCTATACTGCTAGTGAAGTGGCCGTTTCTGTACCTGACTTACCATAGCTAAGCTCTGTGAAGGCTGGGAACCTGTCTATATTACTATTGCTTGTGTTTATGGCTAGCAACTCTTACCAGTGGCTCAGGATCCCGACGTTATAGTCACCGTCTTTCCGAGCGCGTATCTCCCTAGCCATAGCAATATAGACAGGTTCCCAGCCTTCACAGAGCTTAGCTACGGTAAGTCAGGTACAGAAACGGCCACTTCACTAGCAGTATAGACCTTAGCAACTCCTATACCCACCGTCTTTCCGAGCGCGTATCTCCCAAGTCGTACAACCCTAGCACACGCAATATGGACCATTCAATAGCATGCACAAGTTTCAAAGTTTTTTTTGAATACCGTATAAATAGAACATCGCGTACAGTATGCTACTACTATATACGGCGCTTGGAAAAGTGACATCATCTCCATAGACCTGCATAGAAAACGTGAACAAAATGGCGGAGGAATGTACCCCGGGAGTTGCGTCACGTTCAATTATGAGCTAATGAATTCCTCAGTCCTTTACGTGAAAATGGCTATTCTGACTCGCATTTGCTTGCCATTGATTGTTCTTGTACTTACCAGTGAGAGGTTCTCCATAAGATCTTATGGAGTCAGCCATCTTGGTTTCTTCCATGACATCTAGTGCCCTAATGAGTCTCCTCCAGCTTGCTAGTGGGTCAGTGTAAATCCAGTGTGATATCAGCTGTTTCTTCTGCTCCATCTCATCTGGGAACTTCTGTTTAATATCCTCTCTCTTTGACGGTGGTATGTAGAGCCAGGCTCCCAGTCCATACTCCTCCCACCAATCCCCCACCTCCCTCACTTCTCTCATCACATTGGAGGGAGTGAGAGGAACACCTGCAGCAACACACACCAGAGAGATTGTCAATGTGTTTGTGTAGTAGTAAGTGAGCCCTAGAGATTAGCCTCATAGCTACCAGCCTGTCTTTTATTTGACAATAAATATACTCCTCTGTGCATTTGGTGACTCAGCCAGCAAACACACAGTAGGAACCAAAGCTCACAGTAAAACAGGCTATGAAGAAAATACACAATATTCTAGACTCAATGTTAGTACAGCCTGGCTCAAGTCATGGTGCTGTATTTGGGGGAATAGGTACTATGTACACGCAATACAGCATGTTAAATGGTGGGATACTTGCAGGAGAAAAGGACAGAGAATGGAACAATTATGGCTCTTTAAGGAGTAGAGGGGTAGGGTCATTTATTTTCAGGGAAGTGATTGCTCCCCTTGACCAACCTCCGTGACTGACCTATAAACATGAAAAGGTGTGAGAAGGTCTAGCCTCATATCCAGATACTGCTCTCAGGGGAGGAAATTAGGATCTGAGGAATTCCTTGTGTATAAGAATGTCTGTCCGACGTAATGGTGACGGCCATCTAAAGCGTCTTTCATGCTTCCTACATACATAAGTAGCCTTACATACAAGACAATACATTATTATACAGGACAGTGATGCTATGCAGGTGAGTGAGGAAATTTCGGTTACAGTGTGTACAATAGTCAGCTTCCCCCCAACTGAAGCATACTTATTGGTACACCTGCAGCAACACACACCAGAGACAATAGTCAATGTGTTTGTGTAGTAGTAAGTGAGCCATAGAGATTAGCCTCATAGCTATACCCACATCTCTCTGTGCATTTGAGGGGTATTGGTGCAACAGCCAGAGCAGGAACCCAAGTAAAACAGGCTGCGAAGAAAAATGCAGTATAGCTGCATAATTCTACACTAATGTTAGTAAAGCCTGGCTCAAAGTCATGGTGCTGTATTTGGGGGAATAGCACAGGTATATAACGTGGTTCGATACTTACGGTAGAGAATGGCACAATTATGACTTTATAAGGAGTAAAGGGGTAGGGTCATTTATTTTTTCAGTGACGTGTTTTCTCCCCTTGGCCGACCTAAAAACCTTCAACACATGTAAAGAGGTGAGAAGATCTAGCCTCATATCCATACAGGGAAGGGAAGTACTAGGACCTGAGGAAATCCTTGTGTGAGAGAAGTAATGGTGACGACCCATCTAGTGTGTCGTTCGCACTTCCTCTATACATAAGTAGCCTTACTTCAAGATAATACAGTGATTATATGTAGGTGAATCAGGAAATTTCAGTTACATGGTGTGTGTATGGTGTAAATAGTCAACTCCCCCCAGCTGTCATTTTTAACCTGAGAAGCATACTTACGGGTACAATAGCATGTAACTCCTGTGTACCAGTGGGTGACGTCTGAATATGTCGTCTATGCTGAAAGCACGGAGCACTAAGCCCAGCTCTATATTATGGCTGAGAGAAGCCAACCCTGAAAGTGGGAGTGAGTTGCCTAACTCTAAAGGGGGCGTGTCTAACAGTGCAACATTCCAAAAGCACACAATGCAAAGCAGGGGCTTCCTCCTACTACTTCTCTTCCTCTCCTGCTCCTGGAGCTTTCAGGACTCTTCCTTCTGCTCAGTGGCACATGTTTGGAGTCTGCAGAGATTATTACTGGCTGTTAGTGTGTTTGTGGCTCTACAACACACATTTTCTCAAAAGCATCAGCTAAGCTCTTATTTTAGAATCAGGTAGCTTCCCTCCATCTTTGGTCAACCATATATAGCTAGGTAGAGGCCAGGAATTATCGGTGGGTGCAACATCTCTTCCCTTGTCTGGGACTATGAGGACTCCTCCTTCCTGGTTTGACGTCCGCCATATCCTGATTGCTGCTATATACCGACAGCAACCCACCCTTGTTTGTTTACTTTGCAGTCACGCCCCATGCATGCCCGGCCCAAAAATTATCGATCACGTGATTGTTGTGCATGCTCAAAAATAGGTTTAATCTTTTTTGTGCGATATTGTAGACACCCCACTGCCAGCGACTGTGATAGTAGATACGAAAGAAGTACAATCCACTGAATCCTGCAACAATATTATTGTCTTCTGGAGAGGAGTTCACGTTGCAGTCTGTGTGTGTTTCTCTATGCAGTGGTGTTTGTGTATTGCTTTTCCTCTCTGTCTCAGTCTGATTGTCACCCTGTGTATGCTGTCTCAATTTAAAAGAGAAACACTTTTATGTAAAATACCAGTGTTGTGCATGCTTGGAGGTGGACCAGATGGTTGTGAACCAAGTTACGTAGCTACCAGCAACTTTCAAAAATATTTTTGCTTGCTTGATTTTTGGTTGCCATTCATAATGTAGCTATGGGCATAATGCATAGCTAGCAAGTTAGCACAAAAAGAGAGAAATTTGGTGATTTTCTGGTTGGATAGGCAGGGATTATCAAACAAAAAGCTGATGGTTGGTAGGTATACTCAAAATGCGGATAGTATGTGTCGGATTCTGTTGCTGCACTATAGTCAAACTGTTAATAAGTGATGGAGTGGAGACAGGAACTGTGACATGGGAAGGATGCTATCAACATGCAAAACTGCAAATCATCACCTTTCGGCCATGCCTTGACGTGTGCATAAGTTAGCTCATGCAAGTTGCAGAGTTGTTGTGTGTATAATATGACAAAAGTAAACTAGAAACTTTTAAAAGAGCCCACCACCGATTTCATTCTCAGCAAAAAGGCAACAGTGTTATTATGATGCTCAGTGTTTTTATAGGTTTTCTGTTAGGATTGTGCTGGAGCTCATCTACTGTGGAAGGTAGAGATAGTCGCAATCTCATCAAGAATGATGCAGAAAAATTATATATTATCCATGATTGTACAACCAGGTGTAGAGTTTCTTCTCAGAGGAGACTCTATCCCAACTGATGGCAGTGGACGTCTTCTGATAACTGGTATCAGTCTCCACAAATGGACAGAATAGTACTAGTGATGATGATGCTCTCTTCTGTCATGCAACTAAAGATGTTGCAATGATCCGTGAATTAAACATAGGTGACTGGTATCTAGAGACTGACTTTGAGACTACCACTCCCTATGGAAAGAGAATTGATGGTGACAATGATCAAGGCTGGACTAGGAGCAGAAGTACTGTTAACATACTGAACATTAGCTATCGACTAGTGAGATTAAGGAAAGTGTCAGAGACTGCCGTTGAGGGGAAATTCACATGTCATATTCCCAGAGATAGCAACAACAACAAGTCTCTTCTCATACTATACCCCAGTGAGTTGTATGAAACAGATATATAGCATCATGACATAGGTGTGTAGTCTTGTCAGTGGATGCAGTCATTGAGGTGGTAACTGAAGATCAATTCAGAGTCCACTGTATCTCCACTGGTGGTAGAGTTCTGAATATGTCTATCACTGGACCACATGGAGTGGTCTCTCCTCTCAGTAATATACAGGCAGTTGGCACTCAGAGATGGATGGGTAATGATAGCTACTCTGGTGTCACTGGGACACTAGAAGGTGCAGATGATGGAGACACTTACAACTGTACTGCATCTAATGGAGTATCATCTGCAACTGACAGTATTGTAATAGGAGGTATATACCTAACATTATCACTGTCTCATTCCCTTCATGGCAGTATTATTCTTCAGCTGTCAGTAAACCAGTGATAGAGTCACTAGAGAGGGTCTCCCCCACTGTTGTGAGAGTGGAGTGGAGTCAGCCACCAGGAGGGGCCGCAGTAACTGGCTATGTTGTGTTCTACTATGATGGTAGTGTTACTAGGAATAAGAGGGTACCCTCCACTAGTACTGAGATCACAGTTAGCTCTGCTACATTAATTTACGTCATCTCAGTGATGGCTCTCTCAGAGGAGCCGTTCCTCCCTCGAAGGAGTGCCTGGCAGACTATCACGCTGTGTAAGTGTTACGATGAACACACACAACAAAGGGCTACACAAACACAGCACTTGCACCTTTATATGGAATTAATAAATCCCAACACATCTAGCAACACAAACACAACATAGGATAGTAGACCCCCCTCTACCACCCAGGGAGTCCAGAAGGTGTGGTGGTGGATGGCTCAGAGAGAAGCTCGGTCAGAGTGTCCTGGGAGGCAGTGGAGGATGCTGACTACTACACAGTCTCATTCAGTGCAGCAGTGGGAGATGATCAGGAGGGACGTGTAGAGATGATTCTCATTCTGCTAATGTGACAGTAGTGATGTTTCCCACTGCCAGTATTACTGTGGGGGAAGATGATGTAGGATCAAATGACACCTCCTCGTTGAGAGCATACACCACATACTCAGTCACTGTGGTAGCATTCAGTGACAAGTGGGGCAAAACTGTGGGGAGTGAAGCTACCAGAGTGACTACGCTTCAGAGAGGTAAGCAAGTAATTTAGGTAAGATTGGTCACTCTTCTCTCTCATTTGCAGGAAGTGCAGCAGTTACTGGCAGAGTCACAGTCGGTTCTCTTAGCTCCACAGTCATCTCAGTCCAGTGGAGTGGCCTCTCTCCATGTAGACTTGTCAATGGTGTCATTGTAAGATACAGAGTACAGTACAGGGCCAAGTCCAGTGGAGTGGTAGCTGGGAGTAAAGAAGTGGCAGGAAACTGGAGCTCAGGAGCAGAGACTGAACTGAGTGGGCTCACTCCCTCCACCAACTACTCCATTGCAGTAGCTGCAGTCAATGAACAGGGAGATGTGGGTGTCTACAGTCATCCTGTCACTGTGAGGACACTGCCAGGTAAAGTTTATCTGTATATCAGCAACCATGCAAACACCTGGTTTGCCTAGGTTCAACAAGTAAAGAGTCAAGGAATTCTGTTATTATCGGTGCTACCATGGCATGTATTGGAATAGTATTGGGATTTAGTGGAGCTGTCATTGGATGCCTTTTCTATAACAGGTAAGTGATCATTTTTGTGTAGTTCCTTTACAACTACAAAAGTTACCTAGGTCATCACTAGAGCAACGAGTTAACACCAAAGTGAACACAGAGGATAATCAAGCATATGGTGTGCACGAAACACCAAATCCTAATGAGTCATCAACAGAGGAGACAAAGGACGAGTAGTTTGCACTATCACTAGAGCAGATAGCTATACCTTTATAGCGTGCTGACAGTATGTAGCTGTGAGTGTGTAGTTTTAATTTTCAGTGTTTTAATACAGTGAATTTACAGTGAGTTAACTCACTTCCATTTACACACGTGGAGTAAATTGCATAGGGAAGGGATTATTCTCACGCACCACAGCAAGGCCATGTACCTAATTAGCTAACAGGACAAAATTCCACTGTCTGAAACAGTGTCACGGCCGAAACTCCGGCCGTGAAGCGCGTGCTCCCTATGTGCTTACTACTCTGCTTCTTACAAATGCTTTTCGCATTGGGCATTGGTTTGTAGCTACGTGACTCTCATCCTGGAAGGCAGTGAATTACTAGTGCAGCAGTGAGGTGTGCGCAGACGTTTGAACGCTCGCGAGGAGCAACGCGCGCGCATGCGCAGTAAGCTTGGGCGTTTTCAGCGGCCCTAACTCCAGCCCACGGTATGACAAATCACTGAAGACACTTCATAATAATAGTGGAAGTTATAAGTTGCAAAAGGATTTCCTGTAGATGTAGAAGAGTGACCTGTAGCTATATTATAGCACCAAACTGCTGCAAGGTTGAAAGGAGCTGAACGACAATGACAGAGGTTTAAGTTGTAAGAGATCCCATTGTTATTGGTGTTGCAATAGCTTTTGCTGGAGTACTTATTGCGGCCTGTGAAGTCTGCATCGTATGTCTTTTGTGTAACAGGTCAGTGTGGATGTTATTCCATTTAGGCTCTGTGTATATATAGCTATACATAAAAACTACACCTCGGTAGAATCTTTCTCAAGTTCCATGCTTTCACCACTATGTACTGAAACAGATCTTCACCATGTGGAAAGAAAAGAACAAGAACAGAAAGCACCCGGCCAATGGTGCGTCACCAAATGCAGGCATGGAGACTACTGTGACACTCTCACCACCTGAAGAGGCTCTGTATGAACAAATTCCCTGCTACAAACTATGAGACAACAGGTCCACTGAACTAGACTGGTTTATTTTCAAACATCACTGAAACACTGTATAAGAGCGTTCCCGCAATTGTCTCTAAATTTTCTGTGATTGTTACAGAGCTATTGCACATGGAAGTGTAGAAATACAGCTGTAGCTAGCTATATAATAGCTAGTTAACACCCTTTGCAGCCCTATAGTTTCTTAGTATATATAATTATACTGCAGAATTAGCTAATAATGTTGCGAATTTGGCGTAGGTCTCTTTACATAAAAGTGTTGTCGTTCATGGGTATCCTTCATGTTGTGTTGTATTGGCCTTTCAAGAATTCAGGGTTTATTGGTTTTCTCCATTGACAGCTGTTAGCTAATGGTCCTTTAGCCCTAGTACTTGTGAAGGTCACATGCATAGTTTTACATAAGAGTTATTCTTCCCAATCCATGACACACTCTCTCACAGATCTTTTTTGCATCTTAGGAGGTCCAAGCCCGTCCCTTGGTTCGCGCCTCGGTGTCCGAGATTTCGTTTCACCAATTCGGTACCGTACTCTATTCTCGCCTCTATAATTATAGTGCACAGTTTGTGCGCGGTTTTTGCCACTACACACTTTTGACGACCTTCGCGCGAAGCCCGATGTCCCGCCCCTCGAGTCGAGGACAGTGATTCGCATACAAACGTTTCTCGCTAAAAGAGATTTTTTAAAGTGGGAAATTTCCTCTGTAGAGGATCCATGGAATGCTAGGAAGCGTGTAATTCTTTTTTCGTTATGCAACGACGCTAAAGTGTGTGCGCATGCGCAATGTCCCGTTTTCGAGACTGCGACCTATTCGCGGGAGTGTAGCCTAGTAGTCCATTACCGAGGGGTCTCAGAAGAAGCTGTGTGAAGGACTGCGTGGGAACACAGACTCACTAGTTGTATAAGTACTAATAGGAACAGTTGGACGCAGCCCTTCACCAATATCCACTAGATAGAGTAGCTGGCTCACTACTGTGTTGTAATTCCTCACCCCTTTGAGCACCTATCACCACTCTTCTCTACCTCCCACTGTTGTACCTCACATCCACCCCCACTCTTCCACCTGTCTTTCCTGCTCACCATTGGTATAAAAGAGGCAGCTACTGAGCCCTCAGGAGGCTGTGTGTAAGATAATCATTTCGCCACCTACCACTCCGAGACCTCTCTTCGCCGCTACGGCCGCGCTCTACCACAAGCTGAAAAAAGGCATTTTACCCCTCAATATCCTTGTATATTTGGTGTAGTGATAAGATTATAGCTGTGTGAGGGACAGTTTACTAGGAGATCTGTGTGAATTGGACTTGGTCCATACAGGAGAGAACTCGGTAGGTAACTGCTGAAACAAGGAAAAATGACACAAGATTTAAGAGATGCTATCCTGATTGGCATTGGAATTGCACTTTTTGGAGTATTGATTTCCGCTTGTGAAGTCCTCATAGTGTGTGTCTTGTGTAACAGGTAAGTGTCCCACGTAGCTATCTATATATATACTGTTTTAACTGTGGGGTCCTATAAAACAGATCTTCACCATGTGCTAAGAGGCTATCACACTCAAAGACCAGAGTCACTACAGAGAATAACCCGGCCTATGGTGTACTAGTGGGCGTAGTTCATGATACGCCATCATCTGTCATTATATTAGAGGAGGCTCTGTATGCCGAAGTTCCTAACTGAAACTCCTTGGGAGAGCGAGGTAGACAAGTCACGGACAATAACTACACCATGATGTTCACAAAGTGTGTTTCTGTCTGTCACCTAAACTTTCTATGCGCCACAGAAAATTTGAGCATTAACCACAAAATAGGTGTATATTTGCAATCAGTGTTCTGTAGTACAGTTTAATCTTTTCAAGGTGACGTTTGGGTATCTTGTCTTGATGGAAAGTCATGTGCAAAAGGGGATGAATGAAGAATATGGCGTCGTCTCTCAAGCCTACAAACCAAAAGGGAATGCTACATTCCTTATAATAATGATGTTGCTATTATCACATTCAAGGAAGCGTATAATGTCATCACTATCTTGAGGAAACAGAACATGGCAATACCATGTTAAGTAACCCTCCACCCCCCACCCTCCATCCAGATAGCTACAACACATGAGGCAAACAGCACACTTGCACATAAAAAGGTAGGACCCTACATGTAAGTTCGCTGAACTGAAGGAAAGGCAATATTATCAGAGACACTGAGGTGCATAGAAAATATGGACGTAAGGTGACATGTATGGAAAGGCTTATGTTGTACTATCATTTGATGGCTATCTCTACCACATGTGGTTTTAGGTTTGCCTTGTGTTGTATTGTTAGCCCTCAGCGAGGGTTATTGCAGTCGGTCTGTGTGTGTGTGTGTGTGTGTGTGTGTGTGTCCGTCCGTCCGTCCGTCCGTCTGTCCTCCGTTTTTCTCGGTAACCGCGGCAACTCTGAGCGTGAAACGTGGACATATTTTCAACTAGGAGGAATGCATGGTAAAATAAGATTCTGGAGCGGAGAAGCCCGGGTGAAACGGACGGCTGCCGAGGTGGGTGTGCGTCAAATAGAGATCGCGAACCATCGTTGTATATAGGCTTTGCGTGTGTGGAGAAGATTTGCTGGTCTGGCTGTATTGACGGTATATACAGTTGAGTAGGATCGAGATTGCCGGTGAAGTGAGAGCAGCACACGCCCCGGTGAATCCGCTCAGTGAAGGAACCACGAGGTAGCGTAGCTATAGTATGGTGGTGAGGGTTGTCAAGACCAGTGCTTTTCACTTTGCTGTAGTATAATAATTATACTGACATAGTGTAGCTAGTAGCCATTGGCTGAATAAAGAGGCGAGGGTTATGCACTTTCAAGTGCTTTTCATATTGTGTTGTAGAGTAGATTTGAACTTCTACCAGCTGAGTTGCCCTGGTATATAGCTCAGTTGGTAGAGCGCTCGCCTAGACTGCAGAGTGTCGTGGGTTCGTATCCCACCCAGGGCATCTATTCTTCCTTGCCTTTCTACGTTGTTACCAAGTTGTTGAGACATAATTCCCCCTCCCCCCAGAACAGTGGTATAATCTGCCAACATGTCCACTTAGCCAATCACTGTGTCCAGAGCACAGTCTGGATGGTTCTTCAAGGCCGATCGATAAAACGGTATCTACAGTTTGTGCAGCATTTGTGAAATTTAATGTTGAGTCATTTGTTGGTTTTGGATGCTGTATATACAGGAAAGAGTAGGTGAATATTCAACAGACGTCTACAATATCACTAACCTTGTAGTACATATGTATTATCCACTACACTGGCCAGGATGAAGAGGGTGAGGTGATGTGTGTATCTCTCCCTCCTCCTCCTCCTTCCAACATCTCCTGGGACCAGTACATCAACTCTCCCGATGAAGAGTACGCTGCACACTCACTCACTCACGGCCAATACTGATACACTTTGCAACTTTGTCGTCTCATGGGTGCTCTGGTCCATTCGAATAGTCTATTGCATGCAATATTTTGTGTGGACCCAGCTAGTTGCATGCAGTGGGCATGCCATACATGTGTATGTTCTGAGGGTGTGTCTATTGCATGCAACATGTTGTGTCTGCCCATCACATTGAAGTTGCATTAGACTTTTGTCACACAACCTAGCTTGCAGTGCATATTGTATGTTGCCCCTTTTACATTTCTCTATTAACGTACATACTGGTATAGATCTGTGTTAATTTCACAGGCCCCCTCAATTAGGGAGGAAACAAGATCTAAAAGTGGAGCAGAAACACTACAAGGCCTCAGTCTGTGTGGTATGCCAGTGTGTGTAACACCACCCGACTAACACTTTATTTATCTGTATCTTATTTCAGACAGAGGCCTGCCCTATAGAAATGAGAAAGTAAGTGTCTACCACATCAATAAGACGTGTACTGTATAATCTATACATAAACCACCAGCAACAGGGCAATAGTCATGACATCATACTCAATGCATGGTGTGTGTTAGTATACATAAGAGGTGTGCAACTCTCCTACTGCAGACTCTTGGACATTCTGGAGGTTATTGCTCCATACAAACACTTTCACAAACTGAGGCAGTTCTGTCACATGAAACTGCCTCCTGGATTCCCCGTCAAACTTGGTCAGTATTTTAGTACTCACCCTGCACTGTGGGGTATAGAGAGTATACTGTGCCATAGCACAGTGGTTCTAGGTTTGCCTTGTGTTGAAGAATTGAACCCCTATATAACAGCTGTGTTGCTTTGGCAGCTCAGTTGGTAGAGTGCTCACCTAGACTGCAGAGCGTCATGGGTTCGAATGCTGCCTTCCCACCTAAGGCAGCTCTTCTTTTCCCCCTCCTGCATGTAGTTGACTTGTTTGTTGTGCCTTTGCCTTTCTACCTTGTAGTTGACATGTCGTGCCATGTCTGTCTGTCTGTCTGTCTGTCTGCAGATATCCCAGTGTTCCCCACAGTGACAGCAGTCATCACTCTGGAGAAGTATGAGGAGGTACAGACCGAGACCAGCAAGTTCCTCGTTCCCAGAGACTACCACAAGGTCAGCCTCAGCTTCCCCAGGGGAAGTGTGAAGATGGACTGGTGGAGAGCTTCACTTATATACTTGACAAAAGCAGTGTATACCCATGGCATGCTAGATGATTAATTACCTTGGCTTAGCTTTACATTATTATTATGAGGTAATATTACACAATCCTCAGTATTATAGTCTTGTGTTGCCAGACTCCTACTCACGTGGGGAAAGAGTCTGGTCCACTGACGTATAGCGTTTTGATTTCTATGCGAGAGTATGGCTTATATGGCTTGGTCAATGTCGTTGCGTGATTGCCAGAATGATTATAATGTAGAGGTACGCTAAGTGAAATGGTCGATGTCAGTAGACTAGACTCTTTGTCCCCACGACTAAGTGTATGGCTACGCCAGACCACAGCATTAGGATTTAAACTTTGGTAAACTGCCTGGTAGAATCTGGCCTGATTACTCCTCAATGCTGATCTGAGCGTGGAGAAAAACAAACGATTTGGAAAAGGGTTGGGGGTTTGGTGTGCTTCTTCACCTGGCCTGCAGCATAGTTTCTCTGGGCCACAATCCGGCAGCATTACTGGGGTGCTTTACTGCTATTGGATGTGAATGTAGAATAGGAGTGAGGCTATATTCAGGAGTGTGATATCCCATGATGCAGGTAGTTCCAAAGAGGACGGACCAACATCACAAGACATCAGACACTACTGAGAGGACTCACTCATCCTCACAGTCTAATAGCCACTAACATCATCATTATTACATGCCATACAGTATCATACATGATTGTTGAATGTGTTTGTACTACTGATGATGATCATTGTTGTGTTCTTCACAAAAACCATAGCTGCATACCGTTCATGTTAGCCTATAGCATTACAATCCCTAAGCAAGTATGCGCAGCAAAGATTAGGTTTTTCTTGTGTGTGTATCTGTCAGCTAGTGTGACTGTCAATCTTCTGTCTGCTTATACCCTTTGTTTACCAATAGTATAGTGGTGAATGTGTAGTGTATTGGCGTATTATGTTGCATGCGCACTGTCCAGTAGTTTTGAAGATTTTGATGAGAATTTCACACCAATTCAGATGAGTATGTAGGCTTGCTTTGCTTGCCAATAATGGGTGAAGGTATATACCAGAATGGAAATGAGGTTCATTCACTACTTTAGGCTTATTTTGGAGCTGGAGCTGTGGAAGAGAGAAAAAGCTCCATAAATGTCTCTGTACTTGTGAGCAAAGGATAAGGTGAAGCTACATAAAAGTCTTTGTACTTGTGAGCAAAGGATAAGGTGTATGACCAGTTAAACTTACCATTGTACTTGGCAGCAATCTCCATGGCAAGGGCACGGTCTTTGCCTCCAGCTCGATGAGCCACTGCATCCACCAGCAGTTTCCATGACGGATCCCCAAAACTCTCTGTGTCATACGACTTCTTCAACCATTCCTCCAACACATGCTGATAAGTTGTTTTCGACATCACTTTTCTTTGCCTCGATTCTGTTGAGGAAGTTTGGGTCCAGTCTGAGAGCCAGTCCCACCATCTTCCACTTGTGAGCCACTCCCACCAGTTCAGAGCTGACAGTGAAGAGATCTTTGATGCCTGCACATATGAGAGAGAAATAATAATGCCTAGACGACTGAGATGGCTAGTAGCTGTGCACAGAACAAAGGTAGCTAAGCTGCTGGATGTTTGGGATCAGATTTAGGTTGAGCTGAACCCAAAAAAACAGAAATCTTTGTGACTCTGCCAAACCCCCCCCGCACACTGTGCTGGGGTCAAGCACCTAGCTTCACTAATTGACACGTCTTACACTATTCACCAGGCTTTCGTATTGCTGGAATGTGACACACAGTTGAATGATAATGTCATAATTTTAGTACCGAGTTGGCTCTCTACTGGAGTCGGAGGACTAGAAGAAGGAGCCTGGTTCACAGGAGGAACTGATGAGGCAGCAGATGAGGATTCCTCTGACACACCTGCAACAACAAAGGAACACTGCTATAAAATACCATATGCCCCACGACAACTTAAAATGGTAAACAGTAATGTTCCATCAATTAGTTTCACCTGGTGTTCCTTGCTCTGGAGTAGAAGTCTCATCACTACTTGCAGAAGGAGTTGGTATTGAAGAAGCAGTAGAGGATTCTTGAGAGGACTCACCTGTGTTCACACAAAAAGGTTGGCAAAGAGCGTATCGAATGGTGCCGAATGGACGAAAGTTCTCTCGCTGACTAAATCGAGGAGGCGGCAGCATACAAAATTAAAGAAGCACGCAGAACAAACGCATGTGCAGTTGGATGACGTATGGACGTGTAAATACGCCTTAAGCACAACTAGGTTAGCTTGCTCATGCTTGCCAATTATTATTTCACACCAATATTACACGTGGTTTTGTAAAAGTAAGCTGAGATGCACTTCACATTAGCCATTTCTAGGATATAGGACCAGGTGATTCCTGGTGAAAGAAAGCTGCAACTTTGAAAACATCATCTTTCCTCAGGATGCTAGTTGCAAATGCTGACAACTCTGTGCAAGGGACTCAGCACAAGGAAGTGCAATGCAGTACATCTGTGCATAGCCTGTCCAGTTGCAACAAGTGAAACAAGCGAAAAGATGGGAAATTTGGCTGAGCAAACAGGCTGAATTCGAGAGGGTTCTTTGCAAAAGACTCGCACTGAGACCCACCGCCTGCACAGCTAAACACATGCAGTAAACCTACGTTTTCAGTGCTAAAACAAGCCCCTTCACGGACTGCAAGTTGAGTACAGAAAGAAAGAAACTAGAAAGACGGCAAAGTCAGGGAGGCAGACGACTGCTGCTATTCTCATAGTGACCACTTACTGTAGCCTACGCGCTTGCATTACTCACATGTAGTTTGATTCCAGAGAAATTGGGTTGTCAGGTCTCCAAATTGATTGGTGTCACTGGTGCAGATCCACTCCTTGTCCTGGATGTAGGCTGGGTGTGGTCTGTCTGTGTGGGTTCTCGGACACACGATTGCCGGTCGTGGCTTGTTGTCGGAGTAGCCCAGAGTCTCGTCCACGGTCTCGATCCCACCAAAGACAGCCTTTCTCACCTGCCCCCACAGCTCCTTCTCCTTAGTCACTGAAGTGAACACGTGAACCTCGAAGTACTCGTAGCGGTCAACGAAGGTCACCGACCCGGGATACTTGGGGACCTCGAACTGGATGCAGTCGCGATACAGACACGAAGGCTCCTGCGACGAGAGATGCAGCTTCCAGGAGTAGGGGCTGTGGTTTTCAGGAGAGAGGACGTGGGACATGAGGGAGCAGAAGACGCCACTCTGGGGACCACCGTCGGGGAAGTCCACCACTAGGGCTCCGGCTGACGAGCACCTCCTTTCCATGTCGCTGGCAGAGATGTGTCGGAGGACGCTCGGCATGAACCAGGTCTCTGGACCCTCCTCGTTCCACAGCCTGGCAAACACCAGCAGCTCCTCCAGCAGGTGGATCAGATCGTCACAGCTGAAGACCCCTTCCTTGTAGTGGCTGCTGAACCTCCGGTCTTCAGAACCTCTTTGTGATTCTAACACCAAACTTCATGAACTTCTGCCAGCCGGGGGCAGGAGATCCCGTCTGCTGCGTCACCTGACGTCATTTGTTCCTCTCTGGAGAGGGATCCTCGGGGTCGATGCTGCAGTGGCTGACGATGTCTCTGCCGCCTCCTCTCCTGCAGCTGACGGCACTTCGGATGATTCCTTGGCAGAATCTCGACGCTGGCTCCTGAAGCATTGTCTGGCATCTGATTGCGCGTCTTCGAGTGTTCGTTGTCCCTTCTCCTCCAGCGTCTGTTGTGTGTCTCCTTCTTGTTTCGTCAGTCTAGAGGATTCCTCTAAACTCCGCTTCTCAGCTGCATCTGCGTCCGGTCCCCGACCACTGACATACCCCACTGACTCCAAGCTGAGACACCCTGGTCTCCAATCCATCGTCTGCAAAACTCAGCGTCTGCACGCGACTCTCGTCGTACGTAACTGTGGCGTAGATCGCTGCAGATATCTGTGTAGACTTCTCTTCTGCGTTGTGTGTCGCTACAGAGAGATCGTCTATCACCCTTTCTCGCTCTCCCTATGCTTGGGTCTTCAGATTCATGTCCTAAATCTCGGCACCTCACATGACATCACTAGCTCTGAGACCTTGTCCGCAACTACTTGTGGGTCTAGACGAACACGGGAATGTGTGTGTGGGAGGATGGTGCGGAAATAGAACATGAGGCTCACTTCGTGGAAGTAGGTCCAAGCCACGTCGAAAGAGTTCTCCGCCAGCTCCCAGTGATCTCTGCCACCTTCAAGCACTCCTGCCGTGCTCATCACCATCCGTCACCCAGTCTCTCTGCGCGATGCTCCTCAGCTTCTCTTCAACTGCCAGCACCACACAAACCGCACGGGCCAGCTTCACCTTGATGGGTCCGCACACTGTCTCCAAGACGTAGCGTGCGGATCCCCGCTCTGCGCCGTTCTTGTCCTGATGGTCTCGGTTTCAGCGCGTTCATCTCAAAGATCACTTCTGTTTCTCGTGGTCGCCCAGATACCTGCTCTGGCATGTGGTTCTTGGTACACTTCTCGTGTCTGTCTGTCTGCTTTACTTCTTTGTTTGGAATCAGTCATTTTCATTCCAATCGTTTCGTTTACTTGTGGGCTCGTTCTGTCCTGTGAGACACTTTGTGCAGCTTGTCTCGATGGGTGCCAAGGAGAGCAGCTTGAGGTGCTCTCCCTCCTCCTCGTTTTGGAGACAACTGTGCTGGTCCGCATGCTCAGCTTCATGCTTCTCGTCATTGCTCGCGGGGCTTTTCCGGACCGTATGGCTTGACCACGGCTCTCCCCTCGGTAGTAGCCGATCGTGTTTGGCCGGTGGTCCAGTGCGCTGCTGGAGAGATCGATGACTCAGAATTCAGGCGCGACGTCTGCCCAGGAACACCGTCATGGCGCTCGCACAACTGCGGGCTGGCCCGCTGTCCACGATGTTACACACACATGTTTCAGTGAAGACGGTCTCATCCGGGAGTCGCTGGGGATGTTGTGAGGGATATGACTCCTCCTCCCCTCGATGACTCCAGCAGGGATTTCCACCGTCACCCTGGGGCCGTGTCAGCACGACTGGTCACCACGTGCCGTGGCGGCGCACTGGAGAGCACTGGCTGAGGCTTGGTTTTCCTTTGGTTTCTCTCCGTGGTCTGCTGGTGAGATTCTGGGGAGCAGGCTGCCGACTCTGCTGCTTATGGGTGAGTTGTGCTTCTCTCTGACTACAGTTGGTGGGCTGGGTGGCTGGCTGGCCTAGTTCTCTGGCGGCACTGGCGGCTCCTCAGGATGCGGCAACATGTATTGCTTCTTCTCTGTCTGCCGTCTTCTCTTACTTCCTCCACCGGATCGCCTCCTCCCTTCACAAGACCGACCTCGGTTTGACGGGTCTCTTCAGGAGTGGTGTGCTCTCGAGTCGTTTCCTCTCCCTCTGCCAGTGGCATCCTCGCAGCAGTCATGTCTCTAGGGAGCGTTGACTGGGTCCCGCTGCCTGCAGTACCTGTTTCACTCATTGTCACTTTTGTGATGAGTCGTTCTGTGATTCCACGTTCATCTCCTCTCGTAGATCTTCTTGGCCTTGTTGCGACCTGTCAGAAGTAGTAATATTATGCTATGACTTACTAATATGCTCACACAATTATGCTGCGAAGTGGGTTCGACTAACAATTGAAGGGACTCAGTTACGTCAGGGTGTCAGAGAGGGGTGAACAAGTGTGTCCATAGCGTTTGCCAGGCCGGTCTATGCCACACGGCGTGTTTCAATGATCGCTACTGTGGCACGTATAGGCACAAACGGTTGCAAGTTTTGCCATATGGTGAGATGCACTTGCACTACGTGTTGATGGATGTTTTATGGTCGTACTCTGCAGTTCAAGTGCGTAACTCTCCAGCTAAACCGTTAGAAACCTGCAAACTATACACAGAGGTTTGCTAATGCAACTCAACTCGCCTAATAATGTGTGCTAGCCTAAAGAACTTTCAATAGCTGTTGAGTTTGGGGCGACGGACGTTACCAGTGGGGAACAACATGGCACTGGAGTCTGTCAAGAACTTGCGTAACTGCTGATCATCATATCCATATCCACCATCACCTGTAGACAGCATCTGAGACCATGGCTCCTCATGTTGGGGTGTGGGCGAATTGTTGGGTGTGATATATTCTGATGAGCTCCACTCGATCCTCTCCTCGTCCACTAGTGACTGAGACTGATCTGGTCCAACTTGGAGTCGTGGGAACATCCAGCCACGTCCCAAACCTCCATCACTTGTTAGCTTGCAGTGTGTCCAGTGCTGCTCTCATGTTGGAGGGAGTGAGGCTGGGATCTGAGAGTAAACAGCACAGTTAACTATGATCTGGGGAGTGAAACAAGCCTGTGACCCGTTCTACCATATGAATATCTTACGATGGTGATGATTGATCATGGCATTGTCTTCATATACACAATAATTCTATAACTATGATTGGAGGTGAAGCAAGCCTGTACTGTTCTCCATATGATTATCTTACGATGGTGATGATGATATGGCATTGTTGCATATACACATAATTCAATTTACGGCTTGCTCTTGGTACAGATGTTTCATACAAAAACTTTAAGCCTCTACAGAGCAGCCACCAGCGCAAATCAGGTACGGTATGCCTATTAAAGGGCTCAGAGAGGTCTGTCCAGGAATATCGGTGGAAACAACGTGACTTGCTGGATATCCGTAGCCATACGCGAAGGACCTCAAGTTCTCGTGACGTAAGTGCTACGCCTCGCTCGAAGTACACCGGTAGGTTGGAGTTCAACTTTTCGTGATGCTTCACTTAAAAAGAAATACGTAAACGTTTGCGTAGCGCAAATTTAAAAAGCAAGTCCTATACAAAAACGCGGAGAACGGGACCCCAAGCCGTGACGCCGGGCAATTAAAACGTTACCTACATTCCACGCTTACGTGCAACTGGGCTAATTGACAGACTAGTGTTTCAAGGACACATGGAACTAACACTGGTTAGAAAAAAGGCTTACGTTTTACAACATGGTGGCTAAAAGTAATACTATTCACAGGGCTCCAATTGCTACTCTGAATATTAAGTTAGTAACGAGCAAGCAGCAATGAGGGATTAAAATTGAAACACCAACCACTCACCATATGTAGGTGGTAGATGCTGTCTGACTTCCTCCAGGGCTGTGTGCTCCTCCATGAACCATAATACTCCAGCTATCTCCTCCCATGATGCACCAGGTAGGGTCTGGAGGTAGTACTGTAGACCTGCAATCCTTTTCTCCTCTTCAGTTGGGTGTGATGGACTGGCCCTGATATCATCCATCACTGAGTAGGGGACATCAAGCCCCTCCAGCAGCCCACCCATCATCATCATCTCTCCTCCAGAACTGTCTCACAGAGGACACAGCAGGTAGCAGTGTGTGTGGAGTGAGACTGTCATCTGGTAGGGAGGAACACCACTTGTACATCACAACCGACAATGATAGCTATAGTAGATTAAACACCAGCCACTGAGGCTGCCACACATGTATGTATGGGGTTTTTCATTTATTCATGTGTGTTTACATGTATATAAGATTATTTTTGTCTGCGCTTTATGCTTTAATTAACCATGGTTCGAAATTGTTTATGTATACGGAGCTGTAACATTCCACGTAATTCTGAATAGCTCGCCGATAAAAAGTTGCATCTGTTCTTTACCAGTGAGAGGTTCAGCATAGGATCTTATGGAGTCAGCCATCTTGGTTTCTTCTCATTCGATCTAGTGCCCAAATGAGTCTCCTCCAGCTTGCCAGTGGGTCGGTGTTAATCCAGTGTGAAATCAGCTGTTTCTTCTGCTCCATCTCATCTGGGAACTTCTGTCTAATCTCCTCCCTCTTTGACGTGGTATGTAGAGATAGTATCCCAGTCCCTCCTCCCCCCACCAATCCCCCACGTCCCTCACTTCTCTCATCACATTGGAGGGAGTGAGAGGAACACCTGCAGCAACACACACCAGAGACAACAGTCAACACACTGGGTGTAGTAGAGAGTCCAGCTGTGTACAGTGGAACCTCTGAACAAGGGACACTATGGGGACAACGATTTTATCCTATGTAGGGAGGTCGTCCCTATCTCGGAAGTCAAATAAAGTATTAGCACATTGGATTTAAACAAATGTCCTTTGTAGAGAGGTCGTCCCTATCTCGGAGGGTCCCTTATCAGAGGTTCTACTACTGTATTACCTGTGTCAAGAAAGATGTTAGCCCAGCTATGGTATAGTAGTGTGTGTTATTAGCCTAGTATATATACCCAGCTACTGTACATGATGTTTACATACTTAAGGCCCATATACATATGCAGGTTGAGGGGTAATCTCTATTCAATGTGAGGAATGCTAATATGGGGGTCATACATAGACCCCATGGCACATTGATGCAAAGTGAGCAAAACCAGGAGTTGGCTGTATAGCTCCTGGACGTTATAAACTGCATTTATGTGTGCGCGCTTGAGTATGCATTTACTCGTGGTCTCCCGCTAGTAGCTCGCGGAGAGTTTAACACAGGCTAGCTACAGAAGTAGATAGCATGCGGGAGTCGATACAAGTCCTTCGTTGTGACTTCTTGTGCATCCAAGGCACACAGAGTGAGCGGATCTGGTCGAGGTAAGCCAGAGGAATTATGCTAATTGGCTTTTTCGCTTTTCATGGCACATCTCTCAAACACAGTCGTTTCAGGAAAATCGCTATTTTAATATTTTAGGATTGCGTAGTTTGGAAGCTGTTGGTATCACTCATTGGCTGCCTCATAGCCTGAAACGACAGAATAGCTGCAGACAGATAGACAGACAGACACACACACAGACCAAGTACTGTAAACCCTCGCTGCATGATGTACATGCCGCTGATACTGTCTGCTGTATTTTGAGTAGCAAGCCACACACATAAAAGAAGAAGGGTGACCACACTCACTTCTCTTTCCTCTCCTGCTCCTGGAGCTTTCAGGACTCTTCCTTCTGCTCAGTGGCACATGTTTGGAGTCTGCAGAGATCATTACTGGCTGTTAGTGTGTTTGTGGCTCTACGTACGTTCTCATAGATATTTCTCAAAAGCATCAGCTAAGCTCTCATTTTCACGTGAGAATCTAGTAGCTTCCATCTTTGATCAACCTACACAGGTCGAGGCCAGGAATTATCGCTGGGTGCATACTTACATCTCTTCCCTCGTCTGGGACTATGAGGACTCCTCCTTCCTGGTTTTGACGTCCGCCATGTCTGATTGCTGAGCTATACGGGCTAAATTCACTGGGACGAAAGAAGACGGTACGAACAGCTCGTTCGCTGTTTGTTTATCCACGCCGCGGAGCTATAGCTAGCTAGCTACGCCCATTTTTCTCGACTCACGTGATTACGGAACTATACTGAAGTGTCTCTTGGTTCATAGGTGAAAACAGCACAGAAGAGGTTGCTATCAGAGGAGTCAGTTCTATGGTTGATGTACTTAGTG